CCTCCCCCCCAAAATCCGGGGGGGGGAAGCTCATGCCCCCCATGCCTCTTCCACAGGTGCATGCAGTGGCTGGGGGGCAACCCCCCCACCCGCACCCCTGGATGAACCACCTGTGGCTCTGTCCCGCGCACCACCCTCGCTGGGCAACCCCTGCCTCTGCCCCACTCTGTCCCTCATTGTGGGGGGCCTCGATCTCCCTCCCTTCAGCCTCCCACACAAACTTACTGACCTGATGCTGCTCTGCAAGCTGACTGGCCGCATTATTGGCTGTGTACACACTGCGCATGTGCACATGCATGCAGCGTTTATTGGTGACCTTATTGCTACACCGGTCAAAAAGGCTGGTTGTTGATAATGTCAGTTTTCCTTTTATCGGTGCCAATCCAATATGGACTGATATATTGGTGCACCTCCAGTAAGATATTGGAGGACTGAAGATATTTTTCCAATTTTTTTTGTAATCCCCATTGTTTTTTTAGAAACTTAAAATTAAACTTTTCCCTATTGTTCTGTTCTTTGTGATGTTCCTGTCATCACTTTACCCCTAAATTTCAAGACCACAGGTTTTTTTGTTTTAGTTCACAATTGCAGGGGTTTCCTGTTTGCTTGCTCTCTGTGCAGGTGCATCAATGTCAATGCAGTTTGAGCGACTCCTGAATAGTGAATTTCAGCTCCAGAGTAGGGACAAATAGAAATCATGTTGTCTTGTATTCTTTTTAACAATTGTGATGATTTAAAATACTTAAGTTGAAGAGGCATATATTTGAAGGGGCTTTTAGAATATAGAGATTTCTTATCTGAATATTTCATGTAATAATTGTAAATGGCTTTGAGAGTAAAAGTTGCCAATATATGAATGTTAGAGATTCGCTGAACCGGTAAGTTAGCAAGCAGTAAGTGATGGTGGGAATTTTATAGTGCATTACCTACTTTTCGCTGCACTGATTGTTAACTTTAACCGTTCAAAGTAGGTCAAATTTTGAGCTGTTTTTACATGATAGAACAGGCCAATTCTGATGCCATTGTGCAAAAACATTTCCTGTTATTTAATGTCAGTAGTAATTGAAAGTCTGATTCATCTTTTAGTATATGTAAATGTTTATACATACATTGATCATCACTGAGTCTGTACCAATGGATAAAAAGACAGCAAACGCCTTCTATTCCACGATAGAAATGTCTTTACTTGTCCCACAGGTGCACGTTTCTTTAGTCATGTTATAAAACAGGACAGGATATGGAATAATTTCAGTTGATGATTTTGATCCTTTTTTGTGTATATGTTTGTATCAAGTCCATGTTTGTGCGTGTTCTAATATTTTTAAATGAGTGATGTTAGACATATAATATCTCTGGTTCTTATAGTAGTGCTGAGTGCTTAGGGTGTGTCTATATGGCATAATTGCAACACTGTAGAGGTGTTCAAGCTTGCTCATGTACCCCTGTGCAGGACTGCTTTTCACTATGGTGACATGCTCTTAGATTTGCATGACCTGGGAGACCAGTTTCATAGTAGTTTGGGGTCAGAAGGGACCTGAACAGATAATCTAGTCTGCTGCCTGCCCCCCCCCCCCCCACCCAGCACGAACACACACTGGGATCACACGACCCCAGACAGGTGTTTGTCCCACTTCCTTTTGAATTTATCCAAGGTTGAAGCGAGGACCGCTTCCCGAGGAAGTTGGTTCCAGATCCTAGCCACCCTGACAGTGAAATAGTGCCTCCTAATCTCTAACCGGAACCTATTCTCCAGCAGCTTCTGGCCATTGTTCGTCATCACCCCAGTTGCTGCTGGGGGGAATAGGGCCCTTCCTATTTGCTGCTGATATCCCCTAACAAGTTTGTAGGAAGCCACCAAATCTCCCCTCAGTCTCCACTTGCTGAGGCTGAACAGGTTCAGGTCCCTCAGCCTCTCCTCGTAGGGCCTGCCCTGTTGCCCTCCAACCAAGTGGGTGGCCCTCCTCTGGACCCTCTCAAGGCAGGCCACATCCTTCTTAAAGTGCGGTGCCCAGAACTGGGGCCACATCCTTCTTAAAGTGCGGTGCCCAGAACTGGGGCCACATCCTTCTTAAAGTGCGGTGCCCAGAACTGGGGCCACATCCTTCTTAAAGTGCGGTGCCCAGAACTGGGGCCACATCCTTCTTAAAGTGCGGTGCCCAGAACTGGGGCCACATCCTTCTTAAAGTGCGGTGCCCAGAACTGGGGCCACATCCTTCTTAAAGTGCGGTGCCCAGAACTGGGGCCACATCCTTCTTAAAGTGCGGTGCCCAGAACTGGGGCCACATCCTTCTTAAAGTGCGGTGCCCAGAACTGGGGCCACATCCTTCTTAAAGTGCGGTGCCCAGAACTGGGGCCACATCCTTCTTAAAGTGCGGTGCCCAGAACTGGGGCCACATCCTTCTTAAAGTGCGGTGCCCAGAACTGGGGCCACATCCTTCTTAAAGTGCGGTGCCCAGAACTGGGGCCACATCCTTCTTAAAGTGCGGTGCCCAGAACTGGGGCCACATCCTTCTTAAAGTGCGGTGCCCAGAACTGGACGCAGTACTCCAACAAAGGCCTTCTTACAGTCCAGAAAGACTATGTCCACGGTGACACCATCATCCAGGGATTTAGTTACCTAGTCATAAAAGGCCATCAGGTTGGTCTGGCAGGACCTGCCTTTGATGAACCCATGTTGATTTCCCCTGGGCATGATCTCCCCTGCTGGCCCCTCACGGATGTGATCCTTGATAATTATTTCAAAGATTTTTTCCCCAACAGCAGTGTGAGGTTTATGGACCTATAGTTTCCTGGGTCCTCCTTTCTCCCTGTCTTATAAATGGGGACCACATTAGCTAGTTTCCAGTCTCCGGGCACCTGGCCCGTGGACCACGATCGCTTGTACAGCCGGGCCAAGGGCACAGCAATGACCCCCGCCAGCTCTCAAGACCCGTGGGTGGAGGGCATCAGGGCCCGCAGATTTAAAAACATCCAGCCCTTCCAGAAGATCCCTAACTACTTCTGTGCAGATCCGAGGCCTGGCAGTGCTATTCCCAAGATTGCCCCTACCTGTGGTGGTAGAGCTGTCCTGGTCCCTGTCCAAGAAGACAGAGGCAAAGAACTTGTTAAAAATTTCGGCTTTCTCATCTGGCATAGCCACAAGATTGCCATTTGAGTCTAGCAGGGGCCCTACGTTACCCGGTGCCCTCTTCTTACTCCCAGTGTATTTGAAGAAGGACTTTTTGTTGTCCTTAATCCTGACAAATGGTCTTTATTTATTTTATTTGTACTGCACATCAGCAAATGCTTTGAGGGAGAGAGAAATAAAAATGTGTTGGATTTTATATGTTTTGTAACTAACCTCATGTACACGCCTACTTCTGAAACCATTTTTTTTCTTTTGTTTCTTTTCAGATGTGTGGTCAGCAGGCTGTGTATTGGCTGAACTGTTACTAGGACAGCCAATCTTTCCAGGTGACAGTGGTGTGGATCAGTTGGTGGAAATAATCAAGGTATGGAATTCAAGGAGGTCTTGGGTTAACGCATCACTCTTTGAACATAGATATGAAAATGCAGGTTCCTTTTGCCCTGTCATGGTACAGGTATTCAGATGCACAGAAGCCCTATTAGAAGTATGTTGCAATGTCAACCCCTCAAAAGTCAGAAAATGATAGAATTCATGTTGTCTGTGCAACATTAATTTGTCCCCCTTCGTGCCCATGCATTGTGATAGTCTTTTATTCTATAATCTTTTTCCACAGGCCCCCTTCCTTGTTCAGTACACAAAATGATGAACACTTAATGCATATCTATTTGATATGGTTGTGGTGTTTTTATTGTTAGTGCCTGGCCCTGTCTTATTTACTCCATACTGGTTATACCCTGTGTGGAGACAGAATTGAAAATTTCTTTGGAGATATTTCTGGGCACCCATGATAAATATTTGGGACTTCTCAAGGATGAATATTTTCTTGTCACCTCTGAAGTGAGGAATGGGATAGTATTCCCATTTTACATGAGGAATCAGGGCAGACATTAACAATATCCATTGTTTTGTGATGATCACTGAATAACTAGGACCTGACTTTTCAAAATATTTAGAATTGTATCACACCATTTGTGTTTTGTACACAACATCCATTAACTTCACATGTAGTGGCAACTGTTTAATTAGACTCCTAAGGCTCAAGTTGAGTACCCAGAAAACAAATCATGCCAGTACTGATCATATCTAAAAAGTTCATGGCTTAAGCAACTTGTCAAGCATGTTACAGGAACTGTGGCAGAAACGGGGACAGAATCTAGTTTGCTATTCAACTGCCTTAACCAACAGACCATTGCTTCTCTTCCTGCAGTTCCTGCCTCCTTCGCTGCACACTTTTCCCTTCTGTAGTCAAAGGTATGGGTCTTACAGCCAACAGCTTCCATCCTCAAACAGTCCCAAGTCATGTCCATAACCTGTTCACGGTGGGCACTGAATGAGGAAGGGTACCTATGGAAATCAGTAAAATGCAGGCATTTAATTATTGAGGGTAACAGTGTGAATGTAAAAGACTAAAAATGGCTGTAAAAGCATCTTTAATTTTGACATTTCATAACTGTCAATGCTTGACTTTGTGAACTACCTATTACATTATTTTATGTAGTTGGGATGGAGGGGGGTGTGGGACTTCCTAGGTATTTTAAAAAGCAAAGTAAAGAAACAAAATTCTGTGTGCAACATTGCATTGATATCCAAATGATTTACCCAGAGTGGTGGAACCTGCTAAGCGGGTACTTGATAAAGGCTTAAAGCGCCCCATGGGCTAGCTCTTGAAGACTTCCACATTTTCTAGTAAGTCAGAGCTGTATAAGAACTGCCATTTACTAGGTCAAGCCAGAGATCCATCTAGCCCAATATGCTTGCTTCTTCAAAATGGTGGAAAGTGGATGCTGAGAGTAAGGGTGAACAGGACATGTCCAGAATCTTTGCCTCCTTCTCCTCTTCCCACTGCACCTACTGGTTACAAGCAGAGGAATAGCAAGACCTGAGAGTCTAGGAACTTTCCATGTGCCTGTGGACACAGAACATTCTGGCTCTTCCCTTCCATGCCTAACCCCTTCTGTGCTGTTACTTCTAGCCTATTTCTTCCCTTATTCCTTATTTATGCAGTCCTCATCTCTGCTGCTCACACTTAACAACAGTGAACTCTCTCCAGTTGACTCCTTTTGATCTCCCCACACTCCCCAGTGGCTTCTGGTCTCCCACTGCAACTTCTCTTCCTACCTCAGTCTCCTTTCCCTAGTGCACTCTTTGATTTCTTGTCCCAGTCTCTTTGTACAGTCTGGTCCCAGCTTTTTAACCCTGATGCTCGGGAGAAATAGATTTCCTGCTCCAAGTCCCAGTCCCAATCTCGGCACAGTCTTGCCTTTACCCATAGCAGCAACTACAAGTGAAGTCCTTTTAAGTCCCTTTACTCTTGGGCTGGATCACATTTGTTAGCTTCCAGACCAAGGTGCAGGGAGAGCTTTGATGGTAAAATTGAAGAAATGTATGTGTATGTACAGTGTTTGGGGGGGGTGTGCATGCGTGCATGCGCACACTACTTGTGTTGACTCAGTGCTATTCCCCTACGCTCTGGGAGCTGCCAGCTATTTGAAAGATACCACAGATTTTCTAAAGAAACTAGCCTCTGCTGATGAACTTCAGCTACCACCATATTAGTTACCGTGGATGTTACATCTTTGTACATTAGCATCCCCTGTGAGGACTGATTACACACCATACAGAACATTATCCCTGACAAGGACACTGCTTCTGTTTCGATCAGTCTTCCGCTTTGTCCTCACATGCAGCTACTTTAGGTTTGAGGACTTTCTGTACCTACAAATGAACAGCACTCCCCTGGGCATACTTATGGCCCCCCAGTGGGCTAATGTATTTGACAGACATTGCAGTCCACTTCTTCCACAGCTGGCCTCCGTTCCCCTTGTTATACTTATGGTACACTGATGACATCGTCATATGCACATACAGGGAGGGACCTCTAGAGAAGTTCTACCAAGACTTCATCAGCATCCACCCTTCCATCAAATCGACTCTGGAATACGCCACCCAGAACATTTCTTTCTTGGACATCGTTATGAAAGTTTTGCAATGGCCATATCATCACCATGTTTGTATTGGAAACCAATCTACTGCTACAGCTACCTCCATGTCAGCAGCTCTCATCCTAAGCACTACATCCATCAAGCTCTACATTACAGCTGTATCTGCTCTGATCATACTGACTGGAAGGCACATCTTAAGGCTCTGGAGCCAGGGACTCCTACACTGACAAATACAATCCTAAAACTATAACCACTCAAATTTAAGACAACCTGACTTGGACCTCATACTGACCAGATACAATACCAGGCCTGGGACAAAGACAACAGAGTCCCTTTGGTTGTCGCCTACATTCCCCATCTTGAACACCTCAGTATGACCTCTGACCCCTCTAGAAATGACTACCATCTCAAAGTACCTATGAGGCACAAATTTGTCCTGCCCCCCCCGCCCCCAAACCAGCATTTCTTCAGTAACAGACTGCCTAACTCCTCTTTTCATCAAGGTGCCAGATCTTGCTCCAGACCCAGATGCAAGCTGTGCCCCCTCATCAACATAGGCCACAGGACCAAATAAAAGGAACTGATTATAACTTCTGAGATTCATTTACCTGCTCCTTTACCAATGCCATCACCTGCTTACATTGCCCCTATGCTGTCTACACTGAAGAGCTGAGGTGATCCCTGCATGAAAGAATGAATGAATACCCATCTGGTACCAATTCCAGAAAGAGATGCAATCTGTGGCAGAACACTTTGACCTTCCTGGACATTCCATCATTGACCTCATAGATGTTCTTAGACAACAAAACTTTAAAAAATATGAACTTGAATGGGAAGGTGAAGAACAAAAATTTATGCACAGGCTGGATTGTGTTAAGTAATGCCTAACCCAAGACTATGGATTCTTATCTCATTACCTAGATTAGGTTTTATAACTCCATCTCTCAGTGAGTCAATTGCTCTATTTTTTCTCTCTCCTATCCACCTTGCCTTTCTCAGCAGTATCCCCTTCCTTTTTCCTGCCGCCTTCCCTACCCTTTGTATTTTAATCCCATTCTGCTTCCTGAAGTCTCATCATAGTATCTGACAAAGCAAGCTGTGGTTTTACAAAAGCGTATGCCTCTTTGAATTAGTCCATAAAGTGTAAATCTACCCTGCCTTCTGCCTTACTTCAGACTAACGTGGCTAACTATTTCTCTGTACCAATACTGTCTCATTTCTGGGGCTCATGGAGTCTTGCCTGAGCAAAAACCAGAAACTTCAGTCAAGTGATAATTGGAGTGACCACAGCAGTTTGGTGTGGTCTAGCAGCTGGAACATTTTTCCAGGGTCCTGGGTAGGTTTCAAGTCTTTCTTGAGCTATATGCTGTCAGCACTGACTCTGTGGTTGGTTAATGCCTAAGCTGTTTAGTTGACTCCTGGTTTGGCATGTCCTCACAAGCTGTGGTCATGTCCTTGGACTACAATCTAGACACCCCAAACTACAAAGCCTTGATAAGGCTGGGGCAGACTTTCACAGATATGGTAATAGGGGCATTCTTTGCAAGCCACTATCCAAGACAAGTTTTAAGCCTCTGTTCCAACATGTATGGAAACCAGAGCACTATGAAGAAAAGATCTTAGGAATTTTTATTTTCAACATGGGCAAAATTTGTCACGTCTTCCTTCCTCCTCCCCACCCCGTCCTCAGTCTGAGAAACCATCAACGTCTTTGACCAAAACCTTGTATAATTGTTCAGCCTGAGGGAGATGCCCACTGTGGGCAAAATTTTAACCCAAACTATTGTTTTACACTTTAAAAAGAAAGTAAAAACAATGAGCTATCATCGGGTAACTTTAGTATAGGTAGCAACACCTATTGCTACCTGGACTCTAGCTAGAAAAATTAAAATGCTGCTGGGAGCAGATTTGTGTGCTGCCCTGTAGTCTATTAGCCTTTGACCATGTTTAGATTTCACAAGTTACATAGGTTCAAATGGAACCGGTACTTAAATGAGAAATTTAAAGGGAGAACATGAGAGCCTATGAAGGTAGTGTTAGTGATTACGTAAGGAGTAGTTTTCTTTTTTAGTTGCTGCTTAAATCAGCCATCGCAGTACAGTTCAGTGTTTCTCTCAGTACTGGATTTATTTATTTTGGATGAGATTTAAAATTGCAGGTATTGGCATTTGTGACCATTTTAGGATCCCAGAGTGGTTTTGGTGCAATGTGTTCCCTCATATAACAGCAAAATCCCCATCTGGCGAAGTACATTCTGCATCCCTAAATTCTTCCAATACTTTATAGATGTGGCAGTATTCACAGCCTGTCCTAAACTGTAATGAGCTGCTGCCAAATTAAGCTGCAGAGGTGGACACATTTCAATGATGTATGAGGTGATTAATATCTATGATTATGTATAATATACATATAATATGCAAAG